ACAATCATGGCTCATGGCTCATGGCTCATGGCTCACTGCAGCCTTGAACTGCTGGGCTCAAGTGATCCTCCTGCCTTGGTCTCCCAAAATGCTGAGATTACACATATGAGTCACTGCACCTGGCCAGGATTCTTTCTTTACCCTTGATCTTTGGTAGTTTGATTATTAAATGCCTTGTGGTATTTGACAGACATCCTTGCAGTTTAAGATGACACTTTTAAAATAAATTATCCCCTAATGATGACTTGAGCCCTGCCACTCAATGGGAGAATCAGCAGAACCTGTAGGATCTTATTTGGAATTGACATTCTCTATTGTAATTTTGTTCCTGTTTATTTTTAAATTTTCTTTTTGTTTCACTGGACCTTTAGGAAAGATGATGCCCAGTTTTAAACATTAAAAGTGTACAAGTTGCTTTGTTACAATAAAACTAAATGTGTACACACACACACAATTTTAAGTTCTTAATGGAAAAATAACAATTGTAATAATGATGGGGTAAAATGTGGTGCTTTAATATGTGTATAGATTGTGGAATGATTAAATCAGGCTAATCAACATACCCATCATTCACATACCCCCCTTTTTTTCTGGTGAGAACATTTAAAGTCTCTTTCAGGAATTTTGAAATATGTAACACATAATTGTTTACTCTAGTCATCATGATGTAAGATAGATCTCAGAAACTTTTTCCTCCTGTCTGACTGAAACTTTGTACCCTCTGACCAACATGGCCCCAATCCCCCCACACCCCTGTCACCTCTGGTAAAGCCCATTATACTCTTTACCTCTGTGAGTCTGACTTTTTAGAATTTCACATATAGGTGAAATAATTGTTTTTTTTTTTTTGCTTATTTTAAAAATATGGCATTATTAATTAAAAAATTCCAAGTCAAAACATTTGTTTCCCACCAATACATTGCTACTATTATTCCACTGTCTTCTGGATTCATTTTTTGCTGCTGAGAAGCCAGTTATCTAACTGCTTTGTCATTGTAGTGGCCTTCTCTTTTTGCATATTAAAAAATCTCTTTGACTTTGGCATTTTGTAGACTTATTCTAATAATCTTAAATGTGTTATTTTTATTTATCATTTGTGAAAATTGTTATGCTTCCTTAATGAGGGTACTATGCTATGCCCAGAACTATGTATGTTCTTAGAAATATCCTTGTTTTTTCCTCTCTAGGGCACTGAAAGCCTTGGCACTTGTATCTGCCATAGGATGATAAAGATTAATGTACTCATGCCTTTTACACTAGTTCGTGGTGGGAATCTGTTCATTCCCCATACCCCAGATTGAAATAATAAAATTCTCAATACATGGCATTTCTTACTACCTCCTACCTTTCTCCATCTGTGTTCTTTGATTTAGCTTAGAATCTCTTTATGATATCTCCAAGAAGATTCTTAACCCTGAGTATAGGGTATATTCTTTTCAGAGAATGTGAGGAGAGAGTTTGTTTAATTTTTTTGCCAGGCTCATCATCTATTAGGGAACATCTTAAACTAAACTCTCAGCTTTTCCCCCTAAAGCAGATTGTGTTTTATTCTACTTGGAGCCAAAACTGATAAATGCATCTTAGTTCCATCTCCTTTTGTGTTGAGTTTTTTTTTCTCTTTTGTTTATTAGCTTACCCACTAAAGGTATCATGTTTTGGAAGACTGGGACTTTTTTCAGGGCAGTGTGACCGCTACATTTTCTTTTCCCCATAAATGGACCATTAAAACCAAAACTCTAGGTAACCATGGATTGTTACGTACTCTCAAGGAAACTTTTGCTTTAGCACTCACTGGATTCTACCTCTCTAGATTCATGATTTGTCATCATTTTTGGCTTTGGAGAATTTCTCTTACATTTTGTAAGCTGTGCTTTGACTTTAAAAATATTAAAATAATTTTCTCCATCACTTTCAAGAGTGTTGTTTAGAGGATTTTGGGGACTGTTTAGTTTGTGTATTGCTGAAGATGGATGTCCTTTGTTACTTCTAGAGCAGGGTATCAGTCTCTTGCAATAGAAGACACAGTTTTGGAAACAGGGCCACTATCCCTCTTCAGAATGACTAGATAATTAGACTGGGTCTTGTGACTGATTAACTGCTTTGTTATAGGGAGAGGACAGAGAGATAATTGAGTTGTAGTGGCAATTGTGGGCAAGATGGTAGTACAGGGGAGTTCCATCTACTGAAGGCAGAGAGCATTGCTAGGAAATATTAAACCATATTACCTACAGACATCTACTTTCAAAAGAAAGATACAAGGCTCCAAAGATCAGAAATGGAGTAGGAAACACTATGTCTGATTGAGCAGCTGATATTTTGATGACTCATGGTACTGGGACTAAACTATATAATGGCAACTGGGATTTCTGCTCCTTTGAGGGGGCTAAAATTTGGCTCACTGCCAATATTCAAAGGTTGTAGAGGCACTAACCACTGTTTCATGGTTGTGCCTGCAGTTGATCAAGGAAAGACAAATTGAAACCTGGAATGAGCCTCTGCGTAATTGATTAGACCTGTGACTTTCCAGAAAGACAAGTTACAAGAGTTCCAAAGCCCTAATTCTGAATCGTGGTCCTAGGAAGACTAGGAGTGGAAACTATAAAAATTATAAATTTGGGATTCAGAAGATGAATTCCCACCCAGAATGTGCCCACTAATGAAAATTATTAAGCACGAGGCAATCCAATGTGATTAAAAACAAATAATGAGAGATTTTACCTGTGGGGAAATTGAATCAATTTAGTTATTAAAGTTAAAAAATTTTCAAAACATAAATGATGGAATGCCTTCCATGAACAAACGAGAAGTTTATGATACCAAGTGGGAAAGTTTTGAAGCAACAATCTTGAAAAAAAATCCTGAAAAAAAAATTCTTTGAAATGAAAACTTTCTTACAGAAGTATAAACAGAATAACAAAAACCAAACCAAAACAAACAGAATATTGGAAGCAGTCAACCAGAGTAGTTAATTGCATTAAAGAATAAAGGAAGTTGGGGCCGGGTGTGGTGGCTTACACCTGTAATGTCAGCACTTTTGGAGGCTGAGGCAGGCTGATCACTTGAGGTCAGGAGTTCAAGACCAGCCTGGCCAACATGGTGAAACCCTGTCTCTACCGAAAATGCAAAAAATAGCCGGGCATGGTGGCTTACACCTGTAATCTCAGCACTTTTGGAGGCCGAGGCAGGCGGATCACTTGAGGTCATGAGTTCAAGACCAGCCTGGCCAACATGGTGAAACCCTGTCTCTACCAAAAATGCAAAAAATAGCCGGGCGTGGTGGTGAGCACCTGTAATCCCAGCTACTTGGAAGGCTGAGGCAGGAGAAACATTTGAACCTGGGAGGCAGAGGTTGTAGTGAGCCAAGATCAGGCCACTGTACTCCAGCCTGGGCAACAAAGTGAGACTTCATCTCAAAAAAAAAAAAAAAAAATACAGGAAGTTGGATTTGATAAGGTGTACAGACACACACACACACATATATATTAAGATATTTAGATGTTATGAGCCAGGGGAGATTGATTGAGCTGTGCCATTATATATATCTGATTGGATTTCTTTCTTTTTTTCTTTTTTTGGGACAGGGTCCTGCTCTGTTGCCCAGCTGGAGTACAGTGGCACAATCTCAGCTCACTGCAACCTTTGCCTCCTGAGTTCAAGAGATTCTCCTGCCTCAGCCTCCTGAGTAGCTGGGATTACAGGTGCATGCCACCACAGCTGGCTAATTTTTGTATTTTTGGTAGAGACAGGGTTTTGCCATGTTAGCCAGGCTGGTCTTGAACTCCTGACCTCAGGTGATCCAGCCACCTCGGCCTCCCATCTGATTGGATTTCATGGGGAAATAGGCGATACTCCAAGAGATGAAACTTAAGATTTTGTGGTATTTCAGGCAAGAAATAATTTCCAATATTGATAGTTAACTAAATTCTATCAATCTAAATGAAAATATAGTCTACCTCTAGACACATTATAGTAAACTGTAGAACATCAAAAGCAAATCAACATTTAAAAAATATACTAAAATTGGCCAGATGTGGTGGATCACACCTGTAATCCCAGCACTTTGGGAGGTTAAGGTGGGTGGATCACTTGAGCCCAGGAGTTCCAGACTAGCCTGGGCAACATGGTGAAACCCTGTCCCTACAAAAAATACACTTGAGCCTGGGATGTTGAGGCTGCGGTGAGCCGTGATTGCACCACTGCACCGCCGCTTGGGCGACAGAGTGAATCCTGTCTTTTTTTTTTTTTTTGAGACGGAGTCTCCCTCTGTCGCCCAGGCTGGAGTGCAGTGGCCGGATCTCAGCTCACTGCAAGCTCCGCCTCCCGGGTTCACGCCATTCTCCTGCCTCAGCCTCCCGAGTAGCTGGGACTACAGGCGCCCGCCACCTCGCCCGGCTAGTTTTTTGTATTTTTTAGTGGAGACGGGGTTTCACCATGTTAGCCCATGTTGGGATGGTCTCGATCTCCTGACCTCGTGATCCGCCCGTCTTGGCCTCCCAAAGTGCTGGGATTACAGGCTTGAGCCACCGCGCCCGGCCGAATCCTGTCTTAAAAAAAGAAAACACACACACACACACACACACACGAACAGCCAAATTACAACTTGTTGTAATATAAAAGGAATAACAACTTCATTGACAGAAGACATCCTGCAACAACAAAAAATGTCAAAACAACGGGCTAATATCTTTAAAGTACTGTAGTTAAATATCATTTTAAAATTAAGAATGAAGGTGTAATTAAAACATTTACAGACATACAGTTCTCAGAAAGTTTATCACACAAAAACATGGTCAGACTTACAGAAGCAAGATAGCTTATCACACGTAAGACACAGTGGAAAGAAATATTAAAGGATATTCTTCAACAAAAAGAAAACTGAAGCTAGAATGAGGGAGTGGAATATAAGAATAAAAAGGCAGGAAATAATTGGTACGGCATAGTGGTAGATCTGAATAGTTACTGATGTTTTTAAATAAAATCAGCTCATTGACATCAGCTTCACCAGTAATATTTTATCTCCTATATACAAATATGAGACAAATACAGTAATAAATTAACATTTTAAAAGTTAGAAATTTGGTTTACATGAGAAAAAACTCAGGGTAGATTTTAAAAGGTATAAAATAATGTGGAATAGCAGGAATGCAAACACTTGCCATTGGGTGAAATCACCAGATTAACAAATTAAAACAAAAAATATAACACAATGCATGCTGAAAACATCTGATAAAATTCAACACAACTTTTCATTTAGAATTAGAAGACTGGAAGAGAACTTCAGCAGGATAAGGGGTTCCTAGGAAGAAGCAACATACAGTATTGTATAGTAAGCATACTGTTTGGCAGTTTCCTGGGAGAACAGTTGGAAAAACCCTTAGAAAAACCATGGCTAAGTCTTCTAAAATTCATGGGAAAAAAATAACAAGGTAACTAAAAACGTTTAAGAGATCTAGTGGTTTCTTGGTTTGGGGAGAAACGGAAGTGGCAGTACGATGCTGGAGAAAGACTGGAATTTGAGAGAAAGAACTGATGCAAAACGAGAGAGAATGAAAGGATCTGAATATGACCTTGTAAAGAAGCCCAGAAATCTGGACACATTTTCTGGTATCCCTGGGCAGATTTTCTATTTAAAGATGAGGTCTAGAATATGCCTTTTCTTGCTAACGTCTTCGTCTCCTACTATCGGTAGTGTGCAGCGAAAAAGCAGTTGTTCGAACACGGGGTGCCCAATTTCCAGGTTGTTGGATAATGTGAAAGATTCCTGCAATCCCAGAGGGCTGCCAGTAGAGCGGCCAGGATTGTTGTGTGTACGTGGGGGTGGGAGTTTATGCCTGGAACAGGCGTCTCCGGGCCTTGCACTGAGGGCGTTCTGGTAGCGGCGGGCGAGCGTGGGGACCTGGACTCCCCACGCGCGGAGAGGGAGGTAGAGGTTGGAGAGGTGAGCTGGGGACAGGCTCCAGAAGGTGGAATTCCGGGTCGAAGACGGGGCGTACGCTCTCCAAACTGGGGTTGGGGGCCAGAGCACAGGGTTCTGGCATGGGGCCCTCCTGGTAGGGGCTGAACATACTTCTAGCGGAGGGGTAGAGCCCAGCGGCTGAGCCGGTTGGGGAGTCCATCCGGAGCTCCAGGAACTTGGGGTCCGCCTCCTCCTCGTAGGCCTCTTCCTGGGCGGCGATCTCTGGGACAGATGCACAGAATTCCAGCTCGACGACGACGTCCTCCCTGAGAGCGCCCAGGAAAACGTTCGCTTCCAGGCCGGCAGACGAGTCGCCCTGTGCTCCTGAGCGTTCGTCGACGGAGCTCAGGAGGACCTCGGGGATCAGGATGAGGGTGTGTCCACCGAGAGACACTCGCAGGATCGACGTTGGTGCGGGCTCTAGCACCAGGTCGACGTTGTCCAGGGGCACACGCAGGGCACAGCCCGCGGCCAGGACCACTACGGAGGTGAGCGCGCCCACGGCCGGGGTCCCCGGGTCTTCCAGGCTGGGCGCCACTAGGGGTTCGGGGCCCGCGGACTCCTCCAATCGGAGGCGCTTGGCAGGGCAGGGTCCTCCTGGCCGCTGTCCCCACCAGGGCACAGGGCGAGCTCTGGGGCTGCGGGGCCGGCTGCCCATCACCTCGACGGCGCTGTGGACGGCGCTCCTGGGCCTAGCCGAGGACGTGGGGAGCGCGGGCGGTGAAGTCCTCTTTGAGGTAACAGATGTCAGGGGTAGGCGAGGCGGGTTGAGTAGAGTCCTCGGAGCTCCAAGGGCGCCTCCCGGGGGACCGCAGTCCGGGCTGCTGGTGGTGCCTCGCCGGCCGCCGGGCTCAGCCTAGCACGTTGGAATCTTGGGTCTTCCTGACGCAGACCCGGATGCTCACTGCAAAGCCAATTATGTTGTAAATGACGGCAGCGGAACCGAAGTCGCAAAATGTCACGCAATGCTCCGCCCCCTGGAGGACTCGCGCTAGAGGCGGAGGTATCCTGGCTGTCCAGTATCCGGGGCTGTGGTTGGTCGGTCACGCTGGGGAAGTACTCATACAGGCCCCTAGGGGATAGAATGATCAGTATAACTTATTCAGAAAAAATGGTACAACTGTAATAGAATTTCAAAGATGGCTCGCCTGTAGAAGTCATGTTTTCTTGCGATTTCAGGGATTCTAGAGAAAAGACGGCTTAGAAAGATCTCACCGACCCATCCAAATGCAACATACAATTCCTTTAATGCTACTAAATTATTTCATTTTAGGAGTATTCAGAAAATGCAGATTTCTACTTGGGAAAATTGCTTTTAAAATACTAAGTGAAGCTGAAAGTGGTGGCTCACGCTTGCAATCTCAGCACTTTGGGAGGCCGAGGAAGGCTGATCGCTTGAGCCCAGGAGTTCAAGACCACTCTGGGCAACATGGTGAGACTCAGTCCCTATGAAAAATTAAAAAATTCAAAAATTAGCCAGGCGTGGTGGTGCGTACCTGTGGTCCCAGCTACTTGGGAGGCTGAGATGACAGGATTGATGGAGCCTGGGAGGTCAAAGCTGGAGTGAACTGTGGTGGCGCCACTGCGCTCCAGCCTGGGCAACAGAGGTGGGGAGCGGCATCCTGTCCTAAAAAGGAAAAAAAAAAAAAAAAAGAAGTGACACACGTTTGTGGAATAAGTTCTCATCCTGAAAGTTAAAATGTTAGATAGAATCATAGCTAATCATATTAAAGAAAAGAAGATTAACACCGATATACATAAGAATTAATTTTTCTGCTTTTATCGCTTCTGTTTGTTTTTTGAAGACACCCGAGTCTCTCTCTGTCGCAGGCCTGGAGCCGCAGTCGCGATCTCTGCTCATTGCAAAGCTCGCCTTTCCCGGTGTCAACGTCATTCCTGGCCCAGTCCTAGTACAGACACAGGCCGCCGTACGGCCTCCCGAACTATCTGTATTTTGATTTACTGGAGGATGGGGTTTCACAGTGTTCAGCCCAGGAGGCCTCGATCTCCTGAATCTCGTGATCCACCCTTACCTCGGGCCCATCCCAGTGCGGTTGGGCGGGAATAGACCCCAGCCCGTTAATAAAAATTACATTTTTAAATCTGGACAGCTTAGTAATATCCCATGTCTTCGCACTTTTTTTTTCTTTTTTTAAGATTCGACGAATCCTCGCTCTGTTGCCCAGGGCCTTGGCATGCGTGTGCAATCTCCAAGGCTTCACTGCAAGTGCTTGGTTCAGACTGGACTGGGACCCCCATCAGCTCCTGAGTACTGGGACTACAAGATACCAGCCACATACTGGCTTATTGCATTATTCGGTATTTTGTAGTAGAGACAGGCTTTTGCAATGTTGCACGCTGGTCAAACCTCTTGGGCTCAAAGCGATGCCTCGCCTCGGATGCGCACCATCCTCAACAGTGCCTCGGATCTACAGTGTGGAGCCGACCGGCATCCCGACCTGAGTTCGTCTTTTTTTTTGCAATGGAGTCTCGCCTCGTCGCTAGTCGCAGTGCAGTGGCGCGAGTCACTCATGCCAACCTCAACTCCGTTCAGATTCTGCTCGTCAGCTCGCGAGTACTGGCAGTAACAAGGCAGTGCAATCGTCAGCCAATTTGTATTTAGTACAGTCGAGGGTTTCACCAATGTTGAACCAGCTCCTGGTCTCCAAAACTCCTGATCCTCAATGGTCTCACCTGCTTCGCCTCCTAAAGTGCCTAGGGTTACAGGATAGAGCCCACCGCGACCAGCCCTGAGTAATTCGGATTTTGTATTTTTATTTTTTTGAACTTAAGTCCCTCCTTGTCCCCAGGCTGGCTGCAAGATGGCACGATGCTCCAACTTATGCCAACCTCGCCGCCTCCAGGATTTTCAAGTGATTTGTCCATGCCTTCCAGCCTCCTAGTCTAGCTGGAATACACGTACCTGCCACCAGCCCAGCCTACATTTTCTGATATTTAGTAGAGACGGGGTTTCACCATGTTGGCCAGGCTGGTCTCGAACTCCTGACCTCAGGTGATCCGCCTGCCTCGGCCTCCCAAAATGTTGGGATTACAGGCATGAACCACTGTCCCCTGCCAGCCCTGAGTATTTTAAAAAACGATCTTTTTCAATCTTCACAACACCTGAGGCTCAGTGGTAAAGCAAATTTTTCTTAAAAAAAATTTAAAAAATTTGTGTGGGTATATAGTAGAGGTATATATTTATGGGGTACATAAGATGTTTTGATACAGAAATGCAGTGTGAAATAAGCACAGTATAGAAAATGGGGTATCCATCTCCTCAAGCATTTATCCTTTGAGTTACAAACACACCAGTTACACTCTTTAAGTTATCAAATAGTAGATCTTATTCATTCTTTGTATTTTTTTGGTTTGCTTTAACCGTCCTCACTTCTCTGGTAAAGCAAATTTTTCAAAATCAAATACGCAGGTTGTGTTGGATGTAGGAATCAAATGCACAGACATAGCTAGCTTTAAATCAAAGACTCTTTCCTCATACTTTTATGAGGAAAGTAGGAGTAGATCACCAATTGGTACTGTGTATGCCTTTCAAATTAACAGGTAATACCCCTTCCCCCATTCTTTTTTCAAAATGGCTTTCCCTGCTTACATTCCTATGAGCAGAGTATGTTTCCATTTCACTACATCTTTGCAAGCATTTCTTATTGCCACATTCTTAAATCTTTTTCAACCTATTGTAGTAAAATGCTATTTCATTTTGTATTTCTGATTACCAATAAAGTGAACCATTTTTTCATATGCTTATTTGCTATTCTTATATCTTTTTATTTGAAATGCTCCTGTCTTCTATTTTTTTACTTTTAGAAAATTCAGGTTCACAATATTGTATAGCAGTTATTCATCAGATATATGTGTAGCAAATATCTCTGTCATTCTCCCACAGTTTTTGAAGACATTAGCACCTGATTCATTATTATTCCCAGCCGATCTACCTCTGATATACTTTGTGGTAATTTTAATGTTTTCATGGATTTTTCCCCCTGAAGTCCTAGCCTCTTAGTTCACAATTTTGTTCTCCCTCCTACCTCATTGACTCATACCCTTGATTTTGTTGTTACCGCAAGTTGCAATCCCTTTACGATCACAATTTCAACATTTTATTCTCACAGCACCACCTTCTAACTTTCTAACTCAGTTTTAAAAAACATCCAAATCTATCAATTTTTCATTCTCTCTGGAAAAATCCTTTTATCCTACCATCTTTTAATGGAAACTGATATCATCGGGTTCTCACTTCCTTCTTTACTGGGAACTTAAATTCCACGGACAGTCTTGATAATCATTGTCATATTTATATCTTCACCTTTCTTTCCTGTCTACTGCTTTGCTGGTTAAATCTATCTGCCTGCTTGGTGTCCTTACTTGTATAGCTGAATGTGTCTGGAGAAAAACACTCAATCTCTTTGACTAGTCTCGCTTTATAATCATGATCACTAACCTTCAGTCGGTTCCAAATGCTGCCAAGTGATCTTACTACATTGCTCCAGTCCATTCATTCTCTCACTCTTCCAGATGAATATTGCTGCTTTCTCTTTTCTTCTCAAACCTCCAATACTTAATCTCGTATTTTCACTTTTAAATGATCACCTTGCTTTCTTTTCACTGAGAGAATCGAAGCAATCCAAAGATATTTTTCAAAATTCCCATAATCACATCTGCCCGTATAGTTGCATCGAGACTACATATTCTGTCTTCTTTCCTGTTCCCTTAGATAAATTGTTCATGGTCCTAGCAAAGGCCACCCCCTCCACTTGTGCAGTTGATTTAATCTCATCTTGCCTTCTCAATAACATTACTTTAGTAATTCAGTCTCTTTCCTGGATCATCAATTTTTAGCAATCTCATCAAATTTTAACTACTGAATCAATATCTTCAATATATAATTTGAGAGGAAACCTCTTCTGTGTTAAACAAAAACTCTCGACTTGACTTAAACTCCTCCAGTTTCTGCACCAACTTTCTCCTTATATATGAAAACTCTTGAGTTAGTCAACAATACTTACATTCCCTGATTTCCTTCCTCCCATCCTCTCTGGAGCCCATTCTAATCAGGCTCCTCTCTGTGCCAGTCATCTATAAGCCCTCTTACTAAGGTCACCAATGACCCCTATATTATTATATCCAATAGTTAATTCTCAGTCCTCATCTTGAGCTATGAGCACATTTGACACAGTCAATCACTCTGTCCTTTAAACATTTACCCCTTTAGCATCCAAGATCTTTCACTTTCCCAGTCAGTCTTTGGCATCTTCTTATTTTTTCCCCTCATTCTGAAGGTTGGAATATCGCAGGAATCAGTTCTTGGCCTCTTTTTTTTTTCCTTATCAACTTTTACTCTCTTATGTTAAATGCCATCTGTACATTGGTGACTCTCAAATATGCATCTCCCTCCTGTACCTCCCCTGTGAACAAACAATTGCATTGTCAACATTTTCTCCTGAATATCTGCTAATTTGAAACACATGTAGTTTTCATTTTTATAGGTCAGAATAGTCGAATATTTCTCATTTTATGTATTTCAACAGAATAATAGGTGGTTCAAACTTTGGGTCCAAATTTGAGCTCTTTGTACTTCCCCAAACCCAATTATCTCCAAGTATTGACCATCACAGTAATCGGTAACTCCATCCTTCCTTTTGCTCAAACCAAAACTTTGGATTATCCTTGAGTGTCTTCCTTTCATGCTCCATAGCCATTCCATCAGGACATCCTAGATCATGCCACTTCTTACCATCCCTCCAACTACCACCCTACTACCACTTTTATCTCTTGAGTAAATTACTGTAGAAGCCTCCTAAATGGTTTCTTTGCATCTCTCCTATGTCTCTTTTCCAGCTAATCTCCATACAATACCTAGAGTTGTTC